GCAATAACACACAACAACAACAACAACAACAACAACAACAACAACAACAAAGCCAATAAATAACAACATCATCATAAACAACAGCAACACTGGTAAAATGATCGAAATGTGTTCCAACGTCAGTGAAGTCTCCATTTACAGTGTGTGAGCATGTTTGTTTATGTTTTGATAAAAATCAACTACGTAAATATATGCACCCATGATGCATCTGTTTAACCAAACCAGCTCTTTGAGCGTGTTCACAATTGACTGCGCCGTCTCTCTGAGATTCAAGGGAGCTTTACAGCCATTGTCCTCGACAACGAAGCAGTAGCTGCAACTGTAATCGGGGTCTGACATTTAATATCTAGAGCAGGTTTGGCCAAACGTATATATAAAATATTGGTTTCTGTGCCAAGAGGAGATTATTTCACTAAACTGTGATGCAATCGAGTGTTTTAACTGGGACGTGCAATGTACATACAGTGCAATTTATTCAAAATTTATTCGAAACATTTACATTATTACAGTCATTTAGTAGACGCTTTTATCCAAAGCGACTTACAATTCAGTTTCTATCACACCGTAGGCACAGCTGCGGGAGCAATTTTGGGGTTAAGTGTCTTGCTCAAGGACATATCGACATGCGACTAGTGGAGCCGGAGCCGGGGATCAAACTGCCAATCCTCTGATTGAAGGACGCCCCTGCTCTCCACTTAGCCACGGTCGCCCTTAATGTAGTTTATTTTAAAAAATGAAATGCGGGCAATGCATACTTTATTTACATTTTACATTTGCCCCCAAACACATTCTGTGTGTTGTCAAAACTCCACGGGGTAACCTTTGAGTTCACCACCGTGACCAGACACTATGACACTATGAGATACGAGTGTGGTTATATTAAACTTTCCACCAGAGAAAGCAGTGAAACCCTGCTTTTCCAGCCTGCTCTTGTTACTCTTTAAAGCCACTACGTGTACAAAAAAACAAAACAGATTTGGCGCCCCCCCCAGAGGAAGTATGAAAAAAAGACACTGTAGCTGACAGTCACAACTGTCCCCTCCAATTGTCTCATTTTCCTAAAACAAACATATGCTTGAAAGATGCCGTAATCATGTGAAAATAATCTACATTCATTGAGTTAAGAAAAAAAGTTTTCAAGCTAAATTTACTGCTTCAGCTTTACTGATGAACATTTCATATTTGCCTTTTAGTTTATCATCTTCCAAAAGCAAAGAATAAATCGCCACACAATATGAAACAGACTGGTTGACCTTAGAGGCTGGCAATCTTCTTGGCGATGGTATTATTTATTTACAGTAATTACACTAATGTCTTAAAATGATTACGCTGCTGATTTTCTGATGAAACGACACACCCAGCCTTCAGTAAGGTGTCTATGGTTGGTGTTGCCGTGTGGATGACTGTTTCTCTGACCTGTCTGGCTGAGTTGCGAGGTGCTCCGGCTGCGTCTGGAAGGCTGGCTGAGGCTCGAGCGCTGCTTCTTGATGCCGCTCCCCAGGCTCCCGAGCGCCGTGTCCGATTGGCTGCCGTCTGCATGCTCCATGCCGTAGATCTCGCCGCTCACGCTGGTGCTCTTCATCATGTGGCGGCCCGATGCGCGCATGGCCCTGCTGATCATCGCTCGTCAAACCAAAGCTCAAGTTCGTTTTATGTGACTTAATATACCGAAAAGTATACGGGAATAATACACACAAAACTAAAAAAGAAAAGAGAGCGAGTTTGTGTGTGTTTGTGTGTGTGTGTGTGTGTGTGTGTACCTGAAGCGTCCCCGGGGTCTCTCCGACTGGATGGACATGTAGCTGGTGCTACTGATGCGAGAGGCACTGCTGGTTCGAGAGATGGCTGACACGTCGCTGACATCGCTGTCCGAGGACTTATGGGAGACGTTCTCGCTGCTCCGCCTCTGGTCCTTGTAGAGCTGCGGGAAACACACATCACACAACAGGCTGGTGTCATCCAGCATTCATAGCAATGGCGACAAAAAATAGCGCACCGTAATTCGTAGATATGCCAACGTGATTTTTTCGTATGTTATCCACGTAATCTTGAACGAGGAAGTATAAAGACCGCTAAATTCAATTCAATTCAATTCATCCATCCATCTTCCTCCGCTTATCCGGGGTCGGGTCGCGGTGGCAGCAGGCCAAGCAGGCTGACCCAGACTTCCCTCTCCCCCGCAACATGTTCCAGCTCATACTGGGGGATCCCTCCAGCATGTTCTGGGCCTTCCCCGGGGTCTCCTCCCAGTTGGCCGTGCCCGGAAAACCTCCAGTGGGAGGCACCCAGGAGGCATCGTGATTAGATGCCCGAACCACCTCAGCTGACTCCTTTCGACGCAAAGGAGTAGCGCATCAACTCCAAGTTCCCTCCTGATGTCCGAGCTCCTTACCCTATCTCTAAGGCTGAGCCCGGCCACCCTAAAGAGGAAACTCATTCTGGCCGCTTGTAGCCGCGACCTTGTCCTTTCGGTCACGACCCAGTCGGTCTACGTTCCGACTCTCACCATAGGTATCAATAAACAAATCACACAAATTTCAAAATGACATTTTTCTCACTGAAAGGTGACAAGTTTGCAACCCCTGGGAATCATTGAAGCATCTTCGCGTTTAGAAAATTTGACCAGCTCTTATCATGACTGCCACTTCCAGGTAATTTCGAAAACCAAAAAAAACTGGCTTATCGTGATATCGATTATACCTTTCCTGCAAAGAAAAAAACATAGGAAAGGGTATATCAAGCTGTGCAAGTAAGTTACACCTGTGTAGGTATTTACACAAATTCACTGCTACTTCAGCAACATTATGGCACATGCTCTCTGGCTGGAACCCTTATTGTTCTTCTCCGTTCTCCCGCCGAGTTGGTTTCAAAGTGAGACTGCATGAAGCCCCCAGACACCCCCCACCCCACCGCCAAAAATAAATAAATAAATAAATAAGAGTTGTGGCCCACCTCCCGTTTGTTCTTGAGGGGTCGGTCCAGGTCCTGTTGGCTGGAGGTGGCGGTAGCTGACGCCCGGTTGGAATGGACCCTCATCTGGAGCTGACGAACGCACTCCTCTGCTACCAGGGCTACACACACACACACACACACACACACACACACACACACACACACACAATACAAGACACTTAAAAAAACTCCAACTTAAATCAGACACCGCACTGCAAGTTGACCCTATTTGCAGAACATAAACATGCAGTCCTGAAAAATGTTGTAAACGCTAACACCGTATTAATTAATCTTTAGCTCAAACAGCAAGTGTAATATTTCAGTAAATAGAAGCAACAACCACTGCGAGGTTGCCAGGCAACCGGGAGATGCTCCAGAAAGTAACAGAGCCTGCCCCCCTCCCCCCAAAAAGTGTCCAGCACATAACCCTCCTGAAACTCTGACTGGTTTCCTTCCTCTTTCCCTCAACACATCCATACATCATAGAGAGCGATGGAGAAAATGCCCCGCTGACCTTCAGCTGGCCTGTTTCGGGCACCAGAAAGGATTCCTTAAAGGGTTAGTTTGGATGTTTTAAAGTGGGGCTGTAAGAGGTACTTATCAATAGTCGGTGTATTGCTACAGTAGATGACTTTAGTGTTTGAGGGTTGGTTCAAATTCACCGAAGTCACACGGTAACACGAGCAAACTAACCTGTTGAGCCAGAGGTAAAATTACTGTTTTTGTCAATGGAGTCTAGCAGCTTTGAAGAGAGCATAGATGGATATAACGGCTTAGGTTCCCCTTCTGAAAAAGGCTGTTTGTGGGCAAGTAAAGTGGTGAAAATATTCTTAATATGCACTTAAACTGATTTTTTAGCTTAAATACATTTTGCTAGTGCCCTCCGTCCACAGCAGTACATTACTTTGCTCTCGTGCTATTGCGTGCCGACCGCCATTTACTGCAGGTAATACACTGACTATTAAACAACCCCACTTCGAAACATCCAAACTATCCCTTTAAACCAAGATTTATATATTTTTCATTTTCATACAGCATGTTCTGAAGATGTGGGCATGTGGGTTTGCGATAATAAAATGAATAATGTCTGAATTTCACTGCATCAGTCCGCTACAGTCAACGCTGTACATGGTGATGAAGAAATCCCCCCTCACCTGGACTCTAATGCTTCAGTTTAACACACAAAACCAATAGACATCTGTTACCTTGTTCTACAGTGCTGCTCTTGGGGGGAAGCTGCGGGAGTTGCCTCACTCTGCGGGCGGAGGAGGACGTCACTGAGGAGGAAAGAGACGCACCACCTTGGAGGTAGCCCCTGACATGGGATGGTAGCGATAGTGAGGGTGGGAGAGAAAGAGAGAGAGAGAGAGGGAGGGGTGGGAAAGAAGAATGAACAAAGGCAAGGATGAAAAATATGGGGGATGAAAAAAAAGAGAAAAAATTAAATTAAAGTTAATATGTTTGTGACAATGCAGCTCCGGTTGGCACTCGCTGGATGGAGTTCACATTTCTGGAGTTGATCCGATTCAGATCAGCATCACTTTCGACATTAAAAGTGGTTGAAATTCACGTGAGAAACACAAAACACTGAGCAGAACAACCACCAATGGAACCAGCTGTCATCCCATGTTTCTTTTCTTAAGACGTGCAACATCAAATATATAAAGTTGCATTTTTTTTATGTTTAATGAAGCGACAGAATGTGGCTATAGAAAAAGAAATATACGCCGTCGAAATGAAAGAACAGCAACAATAGTTTAGTGAAGTCAGTAGCAAATTCACAAAGTGAAGCTCGTTCAGGGGCTCGATGGTGAGGGATCCTGTCGCAGGAAGAGCAGCAAATAAAGGTTAAGAAAGTGGAAGAACACAGAGAGAAGGTGAAAGCCTTTAAGCACAAATCCCACCACGTCTACAGACACCCATTCATTTGTAATCCATTCTCACGACAGACCCGAGACCAGGAGTTACTCAGAAAACCCGTTTCCTATTTCACCCTGAACCACCCCATAACTACTTTGTCAACTCCATGTCTTTTGCCAATCAAATCCATTGCATATTCTTATGATAATAATAATAATAATACTTTGATTATTATTAAGTATTAAATAAAATAATATAGAACTTCATTATTCCCTTATTGTGCCAGAGTTTAATCAAAGATTACAACAGAACAATAACAATAGAAGTAAAATATAAAAAATATATGAGCAATAGAGTCATAATTATTAAGTGACACCAGTGCAAAAATAAAAATAGCAATAAAAGTGAGGTAAACATATTAATTTATAATTTTATATATAAAATAGAAAAAGTTAATTACAATAGCATGAGATTAAAAAGAAGAGTAAAAATATAAAATGTATAAGTATTAGTAACACCACTGCTAAAAATGTGGATATTATTTCTTTATCTTTACACGGATACATCAACAGTTCCATTGTAACAAATTTCCGTTAAAAAATTCCATTTTACTGGCCATCCGCTCTGCCGTCTTACACTTAACAAAAAAAACTTAACTCGACACCTACAGATCCGCTTTGAGCATACACAGTCTTGACAACACGTACACACCAAATACACAACGGCAGCTGCGAGGGCTGCGATGTGGCAAAGACGTCACAGAAACACAAAACACGTAAAACGCACGAGGGAGTGAGAGAGCAGCGCTGTCGTGTCCCTCTCCACCACAGTATCTATCTATCATTCTAGGGGAATCCCCTTACCAAGGGGCCGCAGTGGGGCCTTCTTTCCTCTGGAGCCCCTTAAGATGGAGGTGGGCTTGATTCTGGCACGCACACACGCACACACACACACACACACACACACGCACACGCACACACGCACACGCACCCGCACAGTGTGGAAGCAGCAGCGTGCAGGAACGGAAAAAAAAACGGGAAGAAAGATGGGGTCGAGGAAAATGGAGAGAAAAAAAAAAGCAAAAGAATACAAATAAATATAAAGGTCATCCAAATCATGTGACATTCAAGTATTGGAAGGATAGCCATCAATTTTTGTACAATGTCCACCACAAGATGAATTCTATTAGTTATTTTTATATAAAACTTCCACCAGGTCAAAGTTTTTATTTGCCCAATACTCATCCTAAAATGTACTTTGGGTGTAGTGCTAATGTAATTCGCAAATGTTAGCATATAACCTGCCCCAAACATAAACATTATACCTGCTAAACATCAGCATGTTAGCATTGACTAGGCGGCAACTTTTGGCTCTGAAAAGTGAAGCCAATGAAGAAGTGCCCTCTCGAATGGCCCTCTTCTGGTTGTATAGAAGTCTATGAGAAAATGACTCTACTTCTCTCTTGATTTATTACCTCAGTAAACATTATGAACATGAGTTTATGGTCTCAATCTCTAGTTTCAAGTCTTCTTCAATACAGCACGATGTTCATTTTGTAAATTATGGTCCGTTTAGAGTCAAATAGACCATAAAGCAGGGGATGCTTTAGGGCGGGGCTACCTTGGGTTTGACAGGTTGCTGCCACGGTGTTGTCCCTGTTTTCGTCTTAGAATTTTATACCTTTCACAGTTAATTGAAACCGTTTTAGGCGCCTACACATCTCTTATTCATCGTTCGGAAGAACTTAGCTCCACCCACTCGCGTCACTTCTGGTTGCTAGAAAACCATGGCTGTAGAGAAATTTAAGACAGTCACAACACTAATGACCGTAATTTGTTGGAATTTATCTGGGCATGAACTAAATATGAACTTAATGCCTCAAGCTACATAAACATATTCAACATTATACTTAACACCATTTGCCAATAAAATACCAATAAATGTTCACCTTTCAACCATCAAACGAGGTCCAAGATGTATTGTGTGTCTATGAATTCCTGCTTTAATCTCAATCCCCATTCAGACTGGATTTGTGTCTCTTGGAGAGGTGGGGTGTTGACATGTGTTGGTCAGTGATGTCATCTCGTCCGGAGCATTCATGTGGATTATTATTTATAATTACAGCCAAGGGTGAGATAATACAAATCCTGCTATGGAGAAGGCAATGCACGCCCCACTCTGCCTCTGATTGGCTGACCTTGATATTCTTACACTAACACAAACCAAGCAAAAAAAATTAAAATTCTGATGGATAAGCCAACATCAACATATAGACCTATTTGAGAACTAATATGACAACAGAAAAATCTAAATCCATGTTGGGAGACGGATACTGGTATTCTCTTTTGAGTGGGTTTTATTTGTTTACATTTTGGCAAATTGGCACCAATAAAAGTATGCCCAAGTCAATATCTGCTTCTGGGGAGGCTTTTATCTATCTCTTTTGGCTTTGCCCTATGGAATGTCTTCATGTATTTCAGCTTTGTCCTGTAATATCCAATTAGATAAATTTCAGAGAAGCACAGTGAATATTGTGTTCCCCACATCCCCCTGTAATGGCAAGAAAAGATGGCTTCTTTCAAACTGGTGAGTGGGGTATGAAATGCTACCTGCTGTTTGACATGTGCTGAGCCTGCAGTACATGCCTTACCTGCCGCTGTCTCGGAGCTTCCTGCCAAGAGCGTGACACTCTGGTGTCTCCAGGGTCCGAGGCTGCCTGGAGAATGGTGGATGAGTCAAAGGGGACAATACACAAAAGAAAGAAAAATATGGATGGATGGATGAGAGGATGGAAGAGAGCACGACGGAGGAGACATCATTTAGATTTAGAGCAGTCTGACTCTGTCAGGGGTTTGTCGGAAACAGGAAATAGGGGGCATGCTGTGATGAATGGTGTGATTGTGATATGAATAAGGGGTGTCACACACTCATGCATCATCTGTAACTGTGCGTGTGTGTATGTACCTCTTCTTTGAACTGAGGTGAATTAAATTCTCTGGAGAAGGCAGTAGCATCCACATTCTCCATTCATGGACATGAAGATGACAAGGATGACACACACACACACACACATACACATACACACACACACACACACACACACACACACACACACACGCGGTATGAATTTATGGACATCATGAATTTGAAGTCATTGCTGAGCACTTTACCTTGAAAAAATGAGAGCCTTCGTAGGACAAAGCAAGCACACAGAAGCTGCAGATGGCGATTCCCAGAACGAAAAGTGCACTTCGGAAAGACTGAGGAAGCGAACTAAACGAGCCAGGGTTTCACAACAAAACCAGTACAAACTACTAAGTTCAGCAGAAAACAAACCGGCTGACTGAAAAACGTGAAGGAAGGATAGGAAAAGCCACAGGACAAAAACTTCGGCGCCAACAACCATAACCAGGGACGAAAAACTATCGCTACTATTCTGCAACAAATTACAAACCAGAAAGACAACAGCCACAAACTGAAAAACCATACAAGCAACCCTTTACACAATGTGAGTGACACAGTCCACAACAAAGTAGAACTTGTCTATACGCCTATACATGGGCACTCAGACTTTCATTTCAACAAGTTCTACATTGTATATCATGTTCACTTTCACTGTGTCCAGCTTATTGACCACAAACCAGAAATGAAGGCAAAGCGATAGAAGACTAAATTGAAAAAGAAAGTCAGGAATAGCTTGTGATTTTATCTTGTTTTTGTAAAAAGAATAAAGTGAAACCCTGCAGTTGCAATTGCTGCTATTATTAGTTTAAAGGAAATAACAATTTATGGTATAAGAAAGTTTAAACCATTTAGGGATATATACGATTATCCGCCTTTTTTTGTCGAGAGTTAGATGAGAAGATTGATACCACACTCAAATCGTTGCTAAATATGAAGCTAAAGCCAAGAGATACCAGCATAGCATAAAGATATGAAATAGGGGGAAACAGCTGTGGGTATGTTCGAATTATGTCTCGTCTTTATAATCCGTCCCTTTTGGCAGAACCAAGCTAGTTGATTACCCCAGTTACGAGTCTTTATGCTAAGCTAAGCCAACGTTCCCTTGGCTGTAACTTCATACTCAAGAGGACAAATATGAGTATGGTGTGGATCTTCTCATCTAATAGTCAGCAAGTAAGTGAATAAGTGTATTTTCTAAAAATGTTGAACTGTTTCTTAAAGGGGATATGAAATTTTGAGAATCAGACATTTTCCTGTTGTACTAAATTTGGCTGAAATAAGTCAGATTAAGCTTGTTCTTTATGATGCAAGATAAAGTCACTCACTTTTACCAGAGTAGAAAGAGTTGGAATAGTTTAGGTGGCAAATTCACTACCAGAGATATCACAACTCAGCAAAGACATTAGAGCTAGCTGCAAAAATGTGGTAGAGCTTGACATCTGCCTGAACCCAATAAGACCCAACTGAACCCAGAGTATTTCAGTCAGCTCCTTACAATAATAGGGGCGGAAAAAACTTGGGAATAGGTGACATACTGGTTGGTAATTTGCCTTGTAAAAAAAAACAAAAAAAAACTTCTCTTTACACTTTGGAAGTTTGGTTAATAATGGCATCAGATTTTAAGGCATTAGTCAAGCTCTAAGAGGAAGCGGCTGAGGGGGTCCACAAAAGGGTACCTGTCATCTTCAGGGGACGCATGTTGGATAAGAATCCTGGGACTTGCCGGACGTCTCCGGGGCAGGGAATGGGATAAAGATTTTCTACATGTACACATACAAAATATATCACCCATATGACCAAATCAGCAAACCGTTACAAAATCAGAAAGGCACGCTATTCCATTATTCAGTATTAATGGGTGCACATATTTTTGGGCAACTTGGGGGGCAACAGAACACCTGACATACTATAATGTTTTTTTTTTACCTGTGCCAAGGAGGTTATGTCGGTGCAGTTTGTTTGTCCGGATTACGTAAAAGCTACTGGCCCAATTTTCAGGAAACAGAAGGGTGTAGCATGGGCCAAGGGGGGACCCATTATACCCAGAGGACCCAGAGTGCAAACGAATCACGGGTCGGATACACTAATTATTTTCCCCTTTCATTATAAGAACGTGCATGGCATTGGCGGAGGTCTGCACTCCCTGAGTGCCCTACTCCTTACCTCCGCCAAGGATGTCATAATTTCAGTTTGTTTGTTTGTTCGTCAGTGGGATTAGGGAAAAACTGCTGGCCCAATTTTCACGAAACCTGGTGGAAAGGTGTAGCATGAACCAAGGAAGAACTCATTACATTTTGAGTATCTTTTACACTGCAGTCACACTAGGCAGTTGTCACTTGACAAGTCAAGGCCAAGTGTGGACAGGATGAATCATTACAGGGACCCACAACTCTTTCAACGTACATATAGCATGCGAGTATCCCAACAAAATACACTTGAATACATTCCAACATATCCTAGAAGGTATTTTGATTACATTCTGGGTATGGTTAAGCAAGAAAGCCGCCCTGGCAGCAGAAATCCCTGGATCAAGCAGGATTAGCTATTATTAAGAACTAAAGCTAGCAAATTAGTAGCATGAGTTGTTGATTCCACTCGAGCCCGGGACTGTGTGATACTGAGCAGGGTGATGTTATCTTTAGATACAGTGATTAGGTAAGGTGTACAAGAAGAGGTGCACCGATTCTGTTGATAGGGTGCCGATCTTTGATAGGTCAACAAAGGTGTCTCGATGGGGATCTGAATAAATTATATGAAATTTGGCAAAAAAATAATTCTGCTGAATTCTGAGGATGGGGCAGGCTTAATCTCCAGCTAGGACCATTCAGAGGGCAAAGAACTACAAAGACCAGGAAAGGTAGAGGATAAGAGACTACTGGAGCTACAGGAGGGTTGGGGGGGGGGGGGGTCAGAGGCTGGTACCTTTCAGTCTCTGGTGAGGGGGTGTGATTGTCTGGAGTCAGACAGTTGGCGCTAGCGCTCCTAACCCTGTCCAGAGAAGGCTGCAGATCACTAGAGGCACCACAGCACAACATGCCAATCCAATGGAGGAGACAGGAGGAGAGGACAGACACAAACACGGAGAGAGAAAAACAATTGACAAACAGAAAAAATATATATTTTTAAGGAAAGGTTAGATTCCCAAAATCATAATGCTAGAATGAAAACGAAACTATGACTGGCGTAGGGATTTGGAGTGTCTGCAAGTTGTCATGGAGATGGGGTACAGTGGAAACCTTTGTTTTTTGATTGCAAAGGATGGAATGTTCTCCGCACTTTGTCTCCCAACCCGGCATTGCCAATGCTCATATGTTAAACCGTTAATGATAATCTGTGCGCATGTACGTGTGTGTGTCTTACCTAACGGTCACCTCATCTGTGAACATTACGACGCGGTGTGTTGTGATGGAGCTGCGCGTTGCCACGACCATGTGCGATCCCGCGACAGAGCGTATCTTTCGGCATGCAGGCAGCGAGGAACTAGTCACAAGATGACAATTTCAAAAACAGCATGCATTTGCAAACGAAACAAAGAAAGCTCAGATTGGAAAGGAATCCGTGAAGCACCTGCCGCTGTAGAAGATACTCACAAAAAAGGAAGTCCGACGAGTTCTGCAGATATCCTAGCTCTAATATTGGAGATGATCAACTTTTGCTACAATAAAAGAATGATGTGCCTCTCAACAGGTTGAGAAAAATTCACACTGGCACCACGAAATGCATAAAGGACTCAGTATGCTTCAAACAAAGTGCTTGTCGAATCGTCTAACAATATCTGAAAGACCTTTTCCCAACATTGGAAACCAGACAATTTTTGCTACATTCCATTCTATTGCAGGATGGCTAGGTGTGCAGAGGTGCAAAGGCGTTCTTTGAAATCCTCCATTCTTCCTCAGAGTATGAAAGTGTGCGCAGTTATCCCCGCTTTATTGCGTCAAGACTACAAAGGGGCGCAGAAACACATAATTCTTGGAAAAGGGAATTGGAGAAGCCAAGAGGAGGCTATGATGGCAGACTTTTTTTTGGAAGACCCAATTTTGCGAACCCCTTGTTCTGGAAGAAAAGTTGCATTTCTTTTCTCCATAGACAGTTTTAAGGCGACTCATAGTTGTAGCACTTCCACAGCTTGGATGGGAACGAAACTGTCGGATTAATAGTAGAGAAGACGAACACCTGTGTTAGAAGATATGTGGTTCTTTGATAAAAAAAAAGTTGAATGTATAATGCTGTTTAAATTTATCATTTATCAAATTGATTATTTTCATTGAGACAAAAAACTTTTCTGAAAATGTATGGTTAAATATGAAATGAGGCATTCTTTTTCATCAAATAAGTGCTAATTTGCGAACATTTCCAGAACAGAAAATTAAACATTTAAAGTTTAATTTTGGTTTTTACAGAGGGAATTTGGGATATTTCTTTGCATCACTCCATAAATCAGAAAATACTGTTAAAGCCATTCAATTAAAATCAGTTTTTGTGTCACAAGTTTTCCGGAATTTAATGTTATATATGCAAATGAGGCATTATCTAATACTAACTTTTGGTGAATATAAAAGAAATCTACGGTCAAAATAAAGGTGTATGTTGGATGTCGTCTGTCCACTAGTCTGACAGAAGACATATGGAGGCAAAATAGCTAAAAATCTCCAAAAATGAATGATGTGCCTCTAGTGTCTCCTCTTCCAAGAAAAAATTTAAATAGGACTACAGAGTATGGCACGTTGTTGGTTTGAAGCACACTGAACCCTTACCTGTGGACTTACCTGTTTGTATGTTTGTGGGTGCCGTTGAACAAAATCTTAGGTGGAAGTGTGTTATTGTGCCTAGTAGATCTCCTGATGTTAGCATGCATGCAGCAGACAGAAGTAGGAAAATGGGAGGAATGGGTGAAAGAGGAGAAAAAAAAAACAAGTATGTGGGATTGTTGTGCACAACAGAAAACAGAAAGTGTTATAGGTCTAAAAAGGTGCCAACTTATCCAGTGATGTTATGCAACATGTCGTACGTAATTAAGCTTATTTGAAGATACGTCTTGCTCGTCAGCTGATGTATTACATTTTTTACATCAAAACATTTACTTGTACTTCAAAAAAAGCAAGTTCTGTGGTTGTGGACTGTCAGTGATATGTAGTCTGATGCGTTTCTAAACAGTGAATTCCAAGCAAAATCACTGGCTAAGCTTGTAGGGTTTTTTTGCAGGGTAAGCGAGTAGAACTACAACACCGCATGGCAGGCATACAAGCGTCAAAAGCCGGCTCTCATCTCTACTGACACGCTTCAAAACACCCTCCTCCCTCAAACACGTGCGTGTAACAGAACAGCGCAATGTTACCAGCTCTATGGTGCTTCTATCTGAGAGGTCCCGGTTGTATGAGGAGACTTGTCCGTAAGTGTGTCACTTACCTCGATGACCGTGTGCTCAAATAGCAATCTAAAGACCCATGTGGAGGGTAACTCCAGTTCGTGTGATGACCACATGTTAAATGACGGTAAAAGTCTTGACATGTCAAACTGTATTGTATGGTAGCGGAGTGCAGAGACAATACCTGCAGAGACAAGCTTGTAGGAATAATGGAATAATGCAAGCATGGTCCTGTAGTGTCCTCTTGTGGATCTGAGTCAGCAGTGCAACTTAACAACCAGCTCTTTGGCTCCCTTTCCTCAATCTGATCTACCCGTTTAATTTTTCCTACCATTACATTATTTAAAAAAAAAAAATGATGCTTCCAATACATGCTACTTTCCTGGCTGTCCACATTACCACATTACCCAAAGTCATCGTCACGTCCTGTCAGTGATCATAGTCTATATCTTTTCTTACTGTCAACAGAACGCATGAAAAGACCAACACTGACATTGAATGCATCCTTGTGTGTGCCTCGATCCCACGAACACCGTCCTGGTGCCACAAATGCTCACTACAGCACAGAATGTGTATTAATCCGCAGCTGAAAATAGTCCCCCGACAAATGCCCTTTTTTCCTCCTGTTTTGAATAATGTTTGCCAAAAACTACAACACCCAGCTGGAAGTTGTTTGCCTTTCTGTTTTTTTAAATAAAAACTACATTTCCTGACCAGTTTTTTTTAGATATTTAGAGCATCAGTAGAAACAGGTGGACTTGGGGCAGGGAGCCACAGACAGAGTAGAGAAGTGGGAGAGTATTGAGATTTTCTTGTGTGTGTTGTTTTTTTTTAAGTCACTTCCTTTTTGCATTACATTGTGTAACATTATGTAGCTGTTTAGACACACTTGTGTTACTTTTACGGCAAAAAAAAGAGCCTCGATTTCAGCCGGATAATTTCTCACTATGCATGGACAGACAAAAACTGACACTACGCACATACAATTACAACTGATCCCGAAACCCAAAATGTAAACAACATGTCGTGATTGGCCGGGTTTACCTGGTGTGGAGGCACTCGGCACTTTTGCCTTGCATTGACTGGTGGATCATGATGACCTCACTGTGGTTACCATGGGTATGGATGACACATTAGGAAATTAACAACAGTCAAAAAATAAAACAGAAAAAAAACAGAAGAGCAGAAGGAGAAGAGGGTGAATAGGAAAGAGGAGCTATGGCTGATCGCCATACACACGACACACACGACACTCAGAAATGAATTTTTGTGACTGAAGCAGTTTTGTCGAAACACTCCCCTTCAGTCACTTTATACAATATACAAATCAACACAGAGAAGCACACGTGGTTCCAGGCCCAAAGACAACAGGCATGAAAAAGAAATTCGGCGAGAGAAAGGGCAGAAGAACTAAATCAGGAAACATCTTTTCTTAATGATAATGATAATGAAAAGTGAAATTTTAGAAAATCTCATGATCGCGTTTACACTTAGGTGTCAAAACAGAATAAAGCAGACACAGTTCTTGCGCAAAACTCTGCTATCTCATTCCAACTGCACACACAAATAAACAGTCGATGTCACACAAACAAAAAAAAACAAACATACAGTCAGAGAATTCTTTGTTTTTTTGCCAACCAAGCAACTCTGATGACATTTATAGTCTAATTAGATACAAGCAGGTGCTCTCACCTGTCATCCAGGTACTCCTCCTCCTGGTGGCGGCCCCTGGCAGCATCGTAGTGCCGGGTCGGAGAGCGTGAGCGGCGTGCGTGAGGAAGCTCGTCATCCAGACTTCTGAAAGACAGAAAGGAACGCTTATGTCAGGTTAGCGGTCAGGCGGTATTGCAGGCCTCGTTTGGCTCGGGCCAGTAAAAGCAGAGCTGGCAGCACTGTGTGTTCTGCATCAGACAGACATTTCATTAGTAGATGGACTCTGTTTGCTGGCTTCCAACAAACTCGCTCACTCGTCCTCTCTCCCTCCACCATGTGGCTTTTACCTCTTACAAGTGTCTCAATATCTTCCCACAAGGCTGATATTGATCCTTCATTATCCATAGTTAGACTTCAGGCCATATCAACCGCCTAATTCGAGCAAAATATGTACTATATTTGGCAAAACAAAATGCCCATTTGGAGCTCAAGAAGTGGATTATGCTAGCATTAACTTGTCACTGTTGGAATTAATTGTGACCATGAAGGGTAAATGTACAAACTTTTTTTTTTTTTAAAGCTTAACAGCTTAATAGATTTGTGCCTGTCTCCTAAAATATCCCCAGATCTGTTTTTCGTCAAACTGATCCATGTATCATAATGTTTCTAAAAGAGAACGAATGGTAAAATTCGGTATGTTGCTTCTTCAAAATAAAGTTCTCTCACCTCTGGGCGGGAACGTTGGGCGGCCGTGAACGCGTCCGCCCCTGCTCCTCGCGGTGCGGCGAGACCGAGCGGGAGCGTATGTAATGGGCGGGCGTCCTCTGCTGGTCTGGCACCTCCAGGGTGGACGTAGACTCTCGCTGCCTCTCCCTGCCACGCCCGTCCGCTGCTGTATATATACACACATATATATATATATACACATATATATATACACATATATATATACATATATATATACATACACATATATATATATACATACATATACATACACATATATATATATACATACACATATATACACATATATATATACATACACA